TTTAATCGTCTGACCATTGAGGAGTAGGATCTTAATAGAGACTCAATCCAGTAAGCATTTATGGCTTAACTATGGACACAAGAGGGGCCCCCAAAAGAGAGTGCAAAAGAAGCAGCCCTCACAAGATCCAGAAAGTTCACTGCCAAAAAATAGTCCAAGAAAGAAAAGGTTTCCACTGCACAGTTGGTAGTGCACTAAGAAGCAATGAAGGTTGAGACAACAAAGGTCCCTGATGGACTGGGACTCTCATGATAAACTCCCCTGAGATTTGATACAGCAGACAAAGAGAGTGCATCTCAGAACCCCAGTCTATTCAACTGGCCGCCAAGATGCATGCTGGTACGTGCATCCTGCAGATGGCAGAGACGAAAGAGGACACAAAGTGAAGCTCTTAAACATGGAACAAGACGAAAGAAAAACCTTCATCTTATAAGCATGTGGGGGACTGGCATTGGCCACCCCAAGATATGTCTCTTTGCATGAGGATTATCTGGGGCTGGTTACTTTTAATAAACTGGGACAGGGAAGGAGGCTCTGAGGAGTGGAACTTTCTTGCCCTTTGTTAGGAGACATTTACATTTGAAAGGGAAATCTCCATCTCTAAAATTGTCTCCATCTCTGTACCAGGAAGAAGGGGGATGAACTTATCTCTAGAAACTCCTATCAATACAGAATGCCAGGATTTAAATCTGCATAATAATCTTATTCCTGTTTATTGTGCTTGTCTGGTAACCTCCTGTAACTGACTCCCCCCACCCCCAACATCCTCCTTTGTCTTTAGCTGAGGAGCATATTTAAGGTGGGGGCTTCAGCCATTTTGGCGAGTTGCTCAGCTTGCCTGAGCCTCTCCCATGTATACATGTTATAAAGCTTTGTTTAATTTTCTCCTGCTATTCTGTCTCATGTGAATTTAATTCATTCTCCAGCCAGAAGAACCCACATTGGGTAGAGGAAATGTCTTTCTCCCCTACAAGCAGATTAATAGCTTTACCTAAGCCTTGGGTCTCTTGGAGCCAAACTAATACCTAGGAGGGAAGTACCTTGGGGTTGGGGATTGTGTGTTGTTTTACAGAGTACCTTGTACACAGAAGTGTTCTTGAGATTGGTTGGGGACCTGCCATCATGTACCCTATTCTGTGACCAACTTCTCCTATCACAGGAGTCTTCTTGAGGAGGCAAGTGCCCTAATGGCTCTTAACTGCTTGACCTGTGCCCACCAGTTTTGTGGCCCTTTTTGGCTTCCAAGAGGCCCCTTAACAATAGCTTTCACCTCATGTGCATACTTAACCTACAGTAAAGTTTACTGAGGGCCCAGACAACAGCTTATAGAGATATCTGTGTCTTGCCCTATGGTTCCTTCCTTTTTATGACAATTGACACAAAAGACAGAGACAAGAAAGAATAGTGACCATCTCTGGGAGGAGAAGGATCAATCAACCAGTGAGTACTCAAACCAAATTTCTCAGAGTCACTGAATGATCTGTCATCTGACCATTTTCTCCAGATTTTAAAGAACACGATAGCCAGGCTGTGTTATAAAGGAATATCATTTTTCCTGTTTCATGGGCTCATAGCTAAAAGTTGCCCAGTTTGGGAGAATGTAGCCTAAGGGGCTACAGATGGGAATCAAATTAGCATTTCCCATTGTTTCAGACTTTAGACACAGCTGGTCAAAAGTATATTTATGCTGCAGATAGAACCAGGTCGTGAAAATTTTGGGTGTCCCTGAAACCAAGGTGCTCACAATGATGTCAAACTAAGGCTTCCTTCCAATGGCCAATGTAATTCCCTGAGGCTGATGGCAGTTTGGTGGGAACCTTAGCCACAAAACAGAGTGCAACGGGATTTTGCCCAACTGTATTTTGTGACCTCCATCCTAATGATTATTAAGGCAAGCCCTCAGGACACTAAACAAACTGGGTCAGATTCTACAATTCTTTGTAAACATTTGCAGCTTCTGGAAACTTTAGGTGCCAGAAAGTGGTGAGTTTGACTCTTTGAAGAAATTTCTCTATTACCTGGCTCTTAAAAAGGATCCCCAAAGTGGTCGCTGCAATTTTAAATTATCCCAGGTTAGCCTGAATGCTGTTCAGACAAACATTAACACACAATAGAATTCTATGTATGACACAGACCAGAACACTAGTTAGTTTTCCAGGAGTAGCTCAGAACCAGCGCCAGGAGCTACTCAAAACCAGATTGCCAGGGGCAGCTCACAACCAGTGCCAGGTGTTGTCCAGATCCAGAAGCAACTTCACGAGTGAACCTCTTATCCTGCCTCTAGTTACCTTGGGTGGTTCAGGCTCCAGGTTTGGGTATCAGCCCACCAGGACTCCCCAGAATGAAAGCCAACTTCTATTTACAGGAAATCAAACCAGAGAGACAAGGTGAGGGACAGTCACTTTCTTAAAGTTACTCACCCAGAGCTCAGAGACGTCTTGATCCAGAAAGTATTTCTTCTCCTAATGGGAAAAAGAAAAACACCCTGGTACTGGGACCACCAAAGCTGGAAACAGGAATCCAATCAGTCATGTCTCTAGACAAAACTGTCTAGGCAGCTGCTTAGGGTTGATGAAAAGACCACACATCCTGCTGGGGGTTCCAAAGTCTCAGGAGGGCGGTGACAGGACCTTGTCCCTTCATGGTCACTAATTGTTACTGCAGAAAATTGGGGTTCTCTTGCCTGATGAGCTTAATGAGCCATGTAATTATGGCATTGGACATTGGAGGAGAAATCAGCTTTATTCTGAGAGATGGATCTGCAGGGAGGCAGGGGGCATGTGCCCTCATACTGGTCTCCCTGATTCAGGACTTGGGGTGAAATTTAAGACAGTAGGGAGGACAGGGTGGCACCCAGAAACACTAGTGGCACAGGTTTTGATTGGTAGGCTTCAAGCATTTATGGTACGGCTTTAAATATTTATGACAAGTTTCTATAGTTTTATGATAGGGCTCTAAACATTTATGATGAGGTGGGGAAGAAATTCTAACACTGGGTCTTCCTGAATGAGGGACCCCTTACTTCTGAGAAGAGTCAACTTTCAAGGTCCAGTCGTGTCCTAGCCCTTTGGGTTCTACAGGGAGATGAATCTTTGGTTCTGCGGTCATTTCAGGTCAAGATCTCTTCTGCTCATGCTCTGGCGATATGACTTTGCACACTTTCTGAAAGGCAATCATTAGTCACTCAGTTGATAAGAGATGGGGTCAGGTGAACTGGTCCTGGAGGGCCCACTGTTACATAAGTTACAGTAAATCTATGTACCCAGAGAGAAAGAAGCAAATTACAGATAATGTAAAAAGTTACAACCCAATTTCTGAGGCATTGAGAGCAACTGTCCTCATCTCACAAATCTCTGCAAAACTGAAAATGCAGCTCCACAGGCAGATCAGGTTCCACCATCCCCATCACCAATCCTGACACCTCCACATCTGACTCAAAGCCTGGACCCTCGCCAGGAGCATCCTTATTAGACCGTCCCCAATTCCTGAGGCTGAGGGAAAAGTTTAAACCCCAATTACCCTGAAAGCCCTAGGGACAAACTTGCATTTTTTCTCTGTGTCCTTTGAAGTTGTAAATTTTCCCCTGTCTTTTGCATGTAAACAGCCCAGGAGCTAACAGCCTACAGTCACCTGAGGCTCAACCTGGCTCCTCAATCAGGAAAGCCTGAGGTTAGAGGGAAAAAAAGGGAATATGTTTCCTTTTAAATGCAGGCTGCTAGAGAGGCTCTCTCCCCAAATCTAATTCATCCCCTCTTTATCTAGAACAAAGATAAATCTTAAAAGACTCTTCCACAGATATTAACAACAACAAACTTTTAAGCAGGTGACCTTAACTTGTTACATCTGCTTGAGACACAATTATTTGTAAACTACTGAGTTTTGTATTCTACCTGTTTCATGGCTAAAACTTTTTAAATAAAAGCTGTAAGATCTCTGTCTGTGTTGGTCTATATATATGTACGTACATTATATATGTCATATTTTTCTGCTTCTAGATGGTATTAACAAAATTGATTTCTAAACAGAGTTCTATTTAATGAACTTAAATTAAGAGCTTATGTAAATTATTTCTAAGTATAATAGAAACTAATCCAAATGTTTTTCAAGTTAAAATGCTGTAAAATAATCTTTGGTCAATAAAAGTTTGTTTAAGTTTGTTGGTCTAATTAAAATAGGTGTGTCTTCAGAGTTATCAGCACTGGATACAATGGAAACATACAACTTTTATTCTACCTGGGGTATTAATCATATCAGCTCATGTTTATGACAAGCATGTGATAAGCTCATGAAAGAGTAAAGAACAAATTGTGAATGTAAAAAAGTTTGTGGGAGAGCAACCCTAAGAAAAAAGTCTCGTGTGTGGTCGAGCTGGCTAAGATTGGAATGAATTTAATTAAGTAAATGAGTTTAGTATCAAAAATAAGCTGGTGCAAAATTAGAACTTGGTTCTCTTTCTGTGTTTATTATAAGGACAAGGTTTCTTGGGCTTTTAATCTCCTGATAAAACAATTATGAAAAGTTTTTCTTTACATTTGAGTAATCTGAGAAAAGGCATGGACATTGTGTTTTATCAAAATTATTTCCTGTGCTTTGTCTCAAAAGCTGAGTCTTTTCTATTACAGAGAGCTAAGTTTTTGCAGCTATGTAACATTCTGTATTTGTCTTTGAAATCTTTTTGTCACCTTGGTTAAATAATAATTAAATATGAAGTTTTGTAATGATCTGTGATCCTATTTAGGCAAGTATTTTAAGACTTTCTTTGATATTTTTGACAAACTTTGAAAAATTAGATTCTAAATAAAGTCTTTTTTGGACTTTTAGATAACATTGGGAGTTTTCAGAGGATCCCTGAAAAATCTCAAGACCCATTTTCTCTCCTTATAAAAAGAGAGACATTAAACTAATTAGGCTTATTTGAAATGTTAAATTATGTGGAAGCATTGTCAAATAAGAAATAACATTAAGCCATCTTTATGTTATGTCTTTACAAGTATAGGTTATAAGAGGTCCAGAAATTATGTGAAATTCCTGGGAGTCTAATATGTCCTGGAATAAAATGCTGCTGTCATCAAAATTGAGGTTTGCACTAAATATCAGGAAAGCTCTTTAGCTGATTTTCACATAAAGGCAGCAACCACAGAATTTGTAAAGGTTGGCATGTGTGGATGAAGTCCATTCAGACTCTGCAAAGAACAGTCCCTCATTGCCAGACTTTTGCCATCCTGAGGTCTTTATAACAGGGCAACAGTCTGCTCCTGAAGCAGAGAAATTAAGGTGGGTGAACAATCGCTGTAAATTCAACAGTCAGGACTATGGAAAATCCAAGACAGCTCCTGGGCTCTTCCCAGCTCCCTGGCAAATCTCATTTTTCAGTTTTTACATTTCTTCACCCACATTAAGAAAAGCTATTTCCGTCCCCAGAGGCCTCAGAACTCTTCCCTGGGGGTCCTTTGAGCACCTGAAGCTGGACTTCAGTCAGCTGCCACTTCCTACGGCTCATCAATATGTTCTTGTTGTTGTCTGTGTTTCCCGGATGGGTTAAAGCCTTTCCTTTGCCACAAAGCTGATGCCCTCACAATGGCAGAGAAACTGCTAGAATACGAGCTTCCCACTTGGGATGTACCTTCCACAATCTCCAGGCACCCACTTCACTGGGCAAATCATATGAACCTTGACGAAAGCCTTTCAAACTTCTTGGAATTTCACTGTTCCGATCATCCTCAATCATCAGGCAAAGTCGAGAAAACTAATGGAAAAACTGAATTCAAGCAGAAGAAATAGTAAATTACATGAGACCACATGAGCTGAGAAAGATGGTCTAATGTTTTGTTTTTCCAGATTTAAAGAAATCTTTTCTCTTAATCTATCAACTATTTGGTAACACACTCCTATGTAAACAAAGATGAAACATTTACCTTTTCTCCCTTCCTGATCCCTCCAGAATTCAGAAACTCTCAGTATTCTTATTTTCACTTGTATGAATATTCAGGCCTAGTTTTTAATATAAACAATTAGTTTTACCATGATTATCTTTGACAAAAAAAATTTGAGAGTAATTATGGAGAGAAAAATTATGTTTGCATCTTTGTAGACAATAGATTCTAGTCCTGTTAACCGTCTTTGAGGTTTGTTCCATGGCTGTGGACTACACTCCCCTGGCCTAAGGTATTACGTATGAGACAGTCGTCAGCAGATGAGTGTCTGTTGTTCCACAACCTTCTGCTGCTCCCCTTTTGTCTCATGTGAGTGTGACCAGCTTCTGTGAGTCTCTACTGTCTTATCCCCAGAACATTATCAACAGGTTAAAGATGCTTTCCTGGATTCCAATTTAAAGGATCCTGTTGGTCATAATCTACAGCCTGGTACTGGGTATTCTGGAAGCATCATCAGAGGAAGACAGCCCTCAAGCCCCGTTGGAAAGGACCTTAGCAAGTGCTCTTGACCACTGACACCGCTGCAGAACTAGAAGTCATTGCATTCTACGTGCCCCTTTGGGTAGACCTTTGTGATTACTGTGGGGAACCATGGGCTTATGAATGTCTAGCCAGCTGGCATATGGCAGGACAACGCCTTTTAGGATATCATAATATTCCATTGCAAGTTCTTGTTAAAGAAGAAACCCAACTGCAATCTCATAGTCTAGGAGAGACTAGGCGACCCTGTTTTACACCCCAGCTACTGTCATTGATTACCACTGTGAAAGGCTTTGTTCTTTGGGTTGATGTCGTTCATAATGACCTGTTGAGAAAAAACGTATCCCTAACCCTAGTTAAACTGGCAAATTCTACCATTCGAGCCTTCACTCAACAACAATCCAATTCTTTAGTGAGGGCTGTATTAGATAACTGAATGGCACTCAGTATCTCCTTGCAGGACAGGGTGGCATCTGTGTTGTAGCCAAAACCTCCTGCCGAACCTGCATAAACTCTTCTGGTGAAGTTCAGTTAGAACTTGAAAAATCATAATAATATCACAGGATGTCTCCCGTCCAGTGTCTTTTAATGACACCCTGTGATTCTCTATTGATGTTTTCGTCTGGCTTCCTGGTGTAGGTACTTAGAGGAGATCAGGATGTCAGGTATTGTTTACGATGATTATTAGAATTGTGCTATGTGTACTTGTATTTAAGCTTCTTATGCTACTACTGCCTCAGATCTGCTCCAAGTTATACTAATGATTATTGTTCTGATTTGCATGATCTTTGTCACCTTCAAGCTACGAATGACTTGCATTTCTCGATGCTGTGTGTCTGTCTACCTCCAGAACAATGATTGCTCAGTGACTTGAGATCATCAACCAGTCTTCAAACTCCAAAGGACTTGATATTTTTCCAGATAGAGACAGTGCCTAAGACTCATTTCTTGATCACCTCCTTATTGTTCAGATGCCACCAGAGCCTCTGACTGCATTTCTCCTATGGAAGATTGAGCATGTGGCCTCCCCCAGACAAGGGACATGACTTTCCAGAAAATAACATTTCTAGGAATGAGGGAAATATCAACATATCGAACAGTTGATCCGAGACGGATTCTGCTGCAAGATCTTGATGAGAAGGGGAAATGTGGACAGTGAGAACAAAATGGAGTAACATACGCTAAGGATTCTAAAATGGAGCTGGGAGGCCATTAAGGAAATGGGGCTCATGCAGGCACACCACGTCTCTACCAGAGGGAATGTTAACTTTTGAGCTGTGCTTCTCTGTTGTCATCTTGACCTTCTTTCACGAAATACGCTTACTCTCAAAGATAAGAACTTCCTGCCTTAGAGATGGCTTTAGCAAGTGATCACATACAGCCAAGAAGTAACAGTTGTTGCCAGCACCAATCACAAATTTAGCAAACGACCTGTGTAATTTTTCTCTTCTTGCCTTTATAGACCCTTACGTCCTTGTTTTCCTCAGAACACAGTTTGATTTTCTGCCTGAATCTGTGTCTCCTGAGCTGCAATTTTAATTGCCCAAATAAATATCTGCTATTTGAAGTGTAGTGGATTTTTCCTCAGTCAACATCTCATACTTCCAGAGGCCAGGAGTCCTGGATCCAGGTCCAGGAGGGTTGTTTTCTGGTGAGGCCTCTCTTTCTGGCCCACAGAGGGCTGTCTTCTTGCTGTGCTCACGTGGGTGAGGGCAAGAGAGCAAGCTTTCTGGTGCTTCCTCTGATAAGGACACTAATGCTCTCGGGTCAGGGCCCCGTCCTTATGGCCTCATTTAACCTTAACTACTTCCTGTCTCCAAGTAGAGTCACACTGGGTGTTCAGGCCTCAACGCATGAACTGTGGGGTGACAAAATTCACTCATTAGCACCCTCTTTCCTCAGGGATCCAACCATGCCATGGACATTACTGAACTGTAGCCTGTATCATGTTGTGTTAAATACCATTTATTTTTCTGATTCTAAAAGTACGCATACTTAGAGTAGAAAGTGCATAAAATGCAGAAAAATATAAAGAAGAAATACATAAACTCACAACCTAGAGGTAAACATTGTTAACATGCCAGGGGTTCTTTTGGTCTTTTTTTTTCTGTGTATGTACATTCACATATTTTCTTTTTACATAATTTGGTTCAAATAACGTGTTTTTTTGGTAACAGTTTTCTTGAGATATAATTTACATCCCATACAATTCACCCATTTAAAGTGGTGGACAATCCAATGGTGTTTAGTACGTTCACAGAGTTGTGCAACCATCACCACCATCAATTTTAGAACATTGTAACCACCTCCAAAAGAAACCCGGACCCTTCAGCTGCCAACCTCCATCCCTCCCACCTCCCCAGCCCTGGGCAGCCTTGAACCTACTTTCTGTCTCTGTGGATTTGCCTAATTTGGACATTTTGTATAAACAGAATCTTACAATGTGACTGACTTCTTTCACTCAGCAGAATGTTTCAAGGTCCATCCATGTTGTGCAGGACACAATCCTCCTGCTCCATGATCCAGTCCTGTAGTAGCATGCGACTGCATTCTTTTCTCTATTAAACAGCTGCATTGAGATACAATTCACACGCCATACAATTCACCTATTTAAAAGAGACAATTCAGGTTTTTGCAGTATATTCGTGGAGTTGTGCAACCATAAAGATAATCAATTTTAGAACATTTTTATCATGCCAAATATTATTCATTTTCATTGCCAAGTAATATTCCATTGCATGGGTGTACCACAGTATTTATCCATCCATCACTGATGGACATTGCAACCTCTGGCTGTTATGAAGAAGGCTACTGTGAACATCTGTGTACAAGTGTTGCTGTGAACATCTGTTTTCATTTCTCTAGGAGCGGAATTGCTGTGTCATATGACAGCTCCATGTTTAACCTTCTGAGGACCTTCTGAGGACCTGCCAGGCAAACTGTGTGATTTTTTAATCTGGATTTTCTCACTTTATTAATCATGCACATTTTCACAAATTCTCACATGTTCTTTGAACATTGGCTTTAATGTTTGCAGGGACCCAAATCTTAGTTAACCAATCCCTTGTTATTGGGCGTTTAGATTATTTCCAATTTTCATATTATAAACAGCATTTCAGGAAATGTCTTTGGGCATCAATCTTTTTCTGCATCTCTGGTTAGTTCTGTAGAGAAGATTAGTCAGACCATTGGGTCAAAGGGCACAGGCAGTTTTAAGGCTCTTGGTGCGTAGTGATAAGTTGCCTTCCAAAAGAGTTGCGTCAGTTTACATTCTCACAAATTGATGTTGGGAATGCCAGTTGCACACCACCTTCTATTCTCATCGTCTCCTAAGTTCCTTCATCTTTCATGGCATCGTTGATGCCATGTCCAGCTCAACATGCAGCACATCATACGAGTTCATATTACACATATGAGAACAGAAAAAGGCCCAGGTTAGTGTGGGAACTGTGGAGGCTGAGGAGGGTGCAGATGTTTGCGTCATAATGAAGGCCAGCTCCATACGACTTACCTGTCAGGTGACATGGGGACTCAGTGCACACTCACGTGGTAACAAGGCATGGCGAGGCCAAGAACCCTGCATGTGGAAGTTGAAGTGGCCCATGGAAGATGAGGAAGCCACACTCCACAGTCATTTAGGGGCAGACACTGGTGGGGACGGGCTGAAGGCTGGCAGCAACTCTGTTCTGTGAATCACTCTGTGGGCAGCAGTCTTTATGCAAAGCCCTGGAAGAGTGACCTTCACTGAGCTGGCAAGGTCATCAAACTCTCTGCTCACCTGGACATCCTGAGGAGAGACCCAGGACCAGGCAGCACATGGTCACCTTCTGAGAACTTCACTTCTTTTACTCACACACAGAGGGTCTCAAAGAAGCTCCTTAGGACAGCTTCTCTCCTATGGATGACAACGTCATTACTCCCCAAACTATTAAAACAGAGAAGGGCAGGGCATCAAGGGGGCTTCTGGGGGCTGGTTACATAGGTCTGTGCTGTTTGTGAAAATTCACCAGGCTCTGCCCTTAATCCATGTGCACTTTGCTGCATAAATGTTGTTCCTCAACAGGAAATGAAAACCAGAGAGACTGGGGAAAGAGAACCAGCACTGAGTCTGTCTCTGCACAGGCCCTTTCCGTGGGTCTGTCATCTCATCCTGTCTCACATTGACCCTGGCTGGAAGGTACTAGCCCCATTTTACATGGACACAAGGCTGAGTCCTGGGAAGGGTTTTACATGAACTGTAAGGATTCAGAAGGATTTCCCTTAAAGCTGAGGATACAATCTGGGCTAGGCAGATTAGACTAATGACAGCAGTGAAGGAACAGGAAACAGAACATTGTATCTAGACTAGAGCTGATCTCTGATTCAGAATCCAGGATCCAATGTTGATGGATCAGGATTTGGCCCCAGGTCTGTCGACCGAAACCCTATGGGATTTCCATTATACTAACACTTCTGATAATAACCGCACATCGTATTGAACAAGCATGTGCTGTTTCAGGACAATTTCATGTATTCTGTTTGTGTTAGAATGATGGAGTCCAGTGCTGAGTGGCCTTCTCAGAGCAGAGGGACGTGGTCAAGGCAAGCTCATCTCTGGCTGTGGAGCCATAGAGATAAGGCAGGTAGAAGGGAGAAGGAAACAAGGACGCTTGACACCAGGTGTCCCGAGCCTGAGGGTTGGAGCTGTGAAGACAGGTCTCTGGAGGGGCTTTGACTCAGGTCTGGACTGAAGTGAAACAGGGGTGGAATAAGCAGTGATTTGGGACTAGACTTTCTTTTAATAATTCATACTTGGGGTTCTCTCCTTAGTGTGTAACTGCCTTGGAAAAGAATGACATTTTTTCTACATTAAAAAGGCAAAGTTGTGAAGAAGATCCAAGATGGCGGCATGAGTAGTCTTCTTTGTCTCTCCCCCTTCAAATCTACAACTAATTGGACATTCATCGCTTAACAAAGGATATCCATATAGCATCTCAGGACGCCTGAGAGACCCACGCTGCTATACATCGGAAGGCGGACAGACTCCCCTCCGGGAGGAGGTGGAGATAGGTGAAAACTCTCCGACCCCGACCCCCGAACAGCCTAGTACCTGCAAGCAGCTTTCTTTCAGTGGACGCCCCCAGAACATCGCCACACACCAAGGGCAGGAGGGAGTGCACACCAGAGGAGCGACGGTGGAAACAGGTGACCAGAGCCCTACCTAAGCCCCCCGCAATTACACCTAAGCCCAGAGGGAAGCTCCAGAGTTACACTCCGGAGGCGGCAGGGAAAACTCCTACCCGTCATTAGCAGAGAGGCCCCACCCAGCATCCACAATGCCGGTAGGCTCCCGGAGAGAATCCCAAATGGGGCGGCGGCCTGCCAGCTGCCGCTGCTGGCCCCACTGACCAGGCTTTCACCTGGGCAGGGCTCGGGGCTACTGGAGATCTCCTGGGAGAGGACTGGGGCTGGGTGGACCTCCAGCAGCAGGCTCCGTGGCCCAGGGGGAAACTCTGGAGTTCCGTCCGGGCAGCAGGCAAAGTCTCTACCTGCCATTAGCAGAGAGGCCTTGCCCGGCATCCACAATGCTGGGAGGGTCCCGAGAGGAGAATCCCAGGCAGGGCAGCAGCCGGCCAGCTGCCACTGAAGTCAAGGTCTCTGGCTATCCCCCAGACAGGGCAAGGGGCACCCTGAGATCCTAGGGGAGAGGACTGGGGCTGGGTGGAGTTCCAGCAACCCAGCTCTGTGGCCCAGGGAGAAACTCTACAGTCTCACAGCAGCCTCAGTGATGGCCTCTGCACAGCACTAGTAGAGAGCACCCACCTGGCAACCACAAGGCTGGAAGACCCTGGGACAAAAGTAGCATAGCTAGGTGAGCTAACCACAGACTGCAGAAGATGCCCATAGCTCTGCTGTGACCCATAGTGGACAAGTGAGATTTTGTGGGTGCTGACAGTGACAGAGCTGCAAATATAAGTGATCCTGCCCCTGGCTGCTGGGAAAGCCCATAACACTGCTGCAGACCCTAAGGAGGGAGCACGTCTAGGTGGTCTGCAACAGTAGGCACCAGTAGCCTGAAGCCCCCTTGTGACGGCCCCCACAGCTGAAGAGGGAACCCACAGGACCACTGTGACTATGAGGAGGGGCCCAGGCCCAGTTAGCAACAGCTGATAGGGTTCCTTGTTGGTGCAGTATAAACAGCTGTCCCTCCACCACACCAGTAGAAACAAGTGGAAGCAGTAACTAAACTCTATCTCTATGCGGAGGCACAAATCTACACCATCAAGCAATATGAAAAGATATATTAAATCTCCAAAACAGAAGGAAAATGACAAATACACAGAAAACAATCTCAAAGACAATGAAATATATAATCTAAATGATGATGACTTCAAAACAGCCATCATTAAAAAACTCAATGAGTTAAAAGAGAATTCAGATAGACAACAAGTTCAGGAGCTATGCCACAAAAGAGTTCAATACTATAAAGAAGAACCAAACAGAAATACTGGAAATGAAGAACACAATAGAGGAGATTAAGAAGAATCTAGACGCACTGAACAGTAGGGCCGATAATATGGAGGAAAGAATTAGCAATTTGGAAGATAGGAATATAGAAATGCTGCAGGCAGAGGAGGAGAGAGAACTAAGAATAAAAAGAAATGAAGAAACTCTCTGAGAATAATCTGACACAATTAGGAGATGCAACATAAGGATTATAGGTATACCAGAAGGAGAAGAGAGGGAGAAGGGGGCAGAAAGCCTATTCAAAGAAATAATGGCTGAGAACTTCCCAAACCTGGGGGAGAGAGATGGAACTTCATGTGACAGAAGCCAATAGATCTCCAAACTTTATCAATGCAAGAAGACCAACCCCGAGGCATATAGGAGTGAAGCTAGCAAAAGTCAACAACAAGGAGAGAATACTAAGGGCAGCCAGGCAGAAGAAATTAACCTACAAAGGAACCCCCATCAGGCTATCAGCAGATTTCTCAGCAGAAACTTTACAGGCTAGAAGAGAGTGGAATGATGTATTCAAAAATCTGAAGGACAAAAACCTGCAGCTTAGAATTCTCTACCCAGTGAAAATATCCTTCAAATACGATGGAGAAATAAAAACTTTCCCAGATAAACAAAAATTAAGGGAATTCATTGCCACAAAACCTCCTCTTCAAGAAATGCTCAGGAAAACCCTCATTCCTGAAAAATCAAAAAAAAGGAAAGGGGCTAAAAAACCAAGAGCAAAGGAGATAAGTAGAAGGACAACAACAGAGAGAAGCAGCTCTCCATCAGAACAGACTAAACCATGGGACAAGAAACAAAGGAAATTGAAGAGAACCAGAAAACAAGACATAAAATAGCAGCGTTAGGCCCCCACATTTCAATAATCACTCTAAATGTAAATGGATTGAACTCTCCAATCAAAAGACACAGAGTGGCAGGATGGATCAAAGAACAAGACCCAACAATATGCTGCCTCCAGGAAACACACCTCAGCCCCAAAGACAAACACAGACTCAGAGTGAAGGGATGGAGGACAATACTTCAAGCTAATAATGAACAAAAGAAAGCAGGTGTCGCTATACTAATATCAGACAAAGTAGACTTCAAAGCAAAACAGATAAAGAAAGACAAAGAGGGACAGTATATAATGATAAATGGGACTCTCCACCAAGAAGACATAACACTTATAAACATATACGCACCCAACACAGGAGCACCAAAATTTGTAAAGCGACTCTTAACAGAACTAAAAGAAGACATCAACAACAATACAATAATAGTAGGGGACCTCAACACCCCATTAACACCAACAGATAGAACATCCAGACAGAAAATCAACAAGGAAATTATAGAATTAAATGAAAAATTAGACCAGATGGACTTAATAGATATATATAGAACACTTCATCCAAAAACAGCAGGTTACACATTCTTCTCAAGTGTGCATGGAACATTCTCAAGGATAGACCATATTTTGGGAAACAAAGCAAGCATCAATAAGTTCAAGAGGGTTGAAATAATATCAAGCATCTTTTCTGATCATAATCCTATGAAACTAGAAATCAACTACAAGAATAAAGCAGAGAAAGTTGCAAAAATGTGGAGACTAAACAACACGCTACTGAACAAACAATGGATTATTGAAGAAATTAAAGAAGAAATCAAATATTATCTGGAGACAAGTGAAAATGAGAATACGTCATACCAAATCACTTGGGATGCAGCAAAGGCAGTCCTAAGAGGGAAATTCATTGCAATACAGGCTCACCTCACTAAACAAGAAAAAGCTCACATAAGCAACCTCAAACAACACCTAACAGAATTAGAAAAAGAAGAACAAAGCCCAGAGTCAGTAGAAGGAGGGAAATAAGAGCAGAAATAAACGATATTGAACAAAAAAGACAGTAGAAAGGATCAATGAAACAAAGAGTTGGTTCTTCGAAAAAATTAACAAAATCAACAAACCCTTAGCCAGACTCACCAAGAAAAGAAGAGAGAAATCTCAAATAAATAAAATTAGGAATGAGAGAGGAGAAATCACAACAGATACCAAAGAAATACAAAGGATCATAAGAGAATACTATGAAAAACTATATGCCCACAAATTGAACAACCTAGAAGAAATGGACAAATTCCTGGACTCTTACAACCTCCCCAAACTGAACCAGGAAGAAATGAAGAATCTGAATAGGCCAATCACAAGTAAAGAAATAGAAACAATAATCAAAAACCTCCCCAAAAATAAGAGTCCAGGACCAGATGGCTTCTCTGCAGAATTCTACCAAACATTCAAAGAAGATTTAATACCTATCCTTCTCAAACTATTCCAGAAAATTGAGGAAGATGGAGTACTCCCTAACACATTCTATGAAGCCAGCATCACTCTGATCCCCAAACCTGACAAGGACAACACAAAGAAGGAGAACTACAGGCCAATACCACTGATGAACATAGATGCAAAAATCCTCAACAAAATTCTGGCAACTGAATACAGCAATACATCAAAAAGATTATACACCATGATCAAGTGGGATTTATACCAGGGACACAGGGATGGTTCAACATCCACAAATCAATCAACATGATACACCACATTAACAAAATGAGAAAGAAAAACCACATGATCATCTCAATAGATGCAGAGAAAGCATTCGACAAGATCCAACACCCATTTATGATAAAAACTCTCAATAAAATGGGTATAGAAGGAAAATACCTCAACATAATAAAGGCCATATATGACAAACCCACAGCCAACATCATACTCAATGGACAAAAACTGAAAGCCATCCCTCTGAGGACAGGAACAAGACAAGGGTGCCCACTCTCACCACTCCTATTCAACATAGTACTGGAGGTGTTGGCCAGAGCAATTCGGCAGGAAAAAGAAATAAAAGGAATCCAAATAGGCAATGAAGAAGTAAAGCTCTCACTGCTTGCAGATGACATGATCTTATATATAGAAAACCCCAAAGAATCCTTAGGAAAACTATTAGAAACAATCAACAGCTACAGCAAGGTTGCAGGGTATAAAATCAACATACATAAATCAGTAGTATTTCTATACACTAACAATGAACTAACAGAAAAAGAACTCAAGAACTCAATCCCATTCACAATCACAACAAAAAGAATAAAATACCTTGGGATAAATTTAACCAAGCAAGTGAAACACCTATACAACAAAAACTACAAGACTTTCCTGAAAGAAATCGATGACGATGTAAAGAGATGGAAAGACATTCCATGCACATGGATTGGAAGAATAAACATTGTTAAAATGTCCATACTACCTAAAGCAATCTACAGATTCAATGCAATCCCAATCAGAATCCCAATGACATTCTTTACAGAAATTGAACAAAGAATCCTAAAATTCATATGGGGCAACATAAGACCCCGAATTGCTAAAGCAATCCTGAGAAAGAAGAACACAGCTGGAGGCATCACAATCCCTGACTTCAAAACGTACTACAAAGCTACAGTAATCAAAACAGCATGGTACTGGTACAAAAACAGGTGCACAGATCAATGGAATAGAATTGAAAGCCCAGAAATAAAACCATACATCTATGGACAGCTAATCTTCGACAAAGGAGCTGAGGCCCTACAATGGAGAAAAGAAAGTCTCTTCAACAAATAGTGCTGGGAAAACTGGACAACCACATGTAAAAGAATGAAAATTGACCATTCTTTTTCACCATTCACAAAAATAAACTCAAAATGGATTAAAGACCTAAAGATTAGGCCTGAAACAATAAGTCTTTTAGAAGAGAATATAGGCAGTACACTCTTTGACATCAGTTTCAAAAGAATCTTTCCGGACACCATAACTCCTCAGACGAGGGAAACAATAGAAAGAATAAACAAATGGGACTTCATCAGACTAAAGAGCTTCTTCAAGGCAAGGGAAACAGGATTGAAACAAAAAAACAGCCCACTAATTGGGAAAAAATATTTACAAGTTATTTATCTGACAAAGGGTTAATCTCCATAACATATAAAGAACACACACAGCTCAACAGCAAAAAATCAAAGAACCCGATCAAAAAATGGGCAGGGGATATGAACAGACATTTCTCCAAAGAAGATATAAGGATGGCCAATAGACACATGAAAAGATGCTCATCATCACTAATCATCAGGGAAATGAAAATCAAAACTACACTAGGATATCACCTTACACCTGTTAGAATGACAAAAATATACAAAACCAAGAGTGACAAATGTTGGAGAGGTTGTGGAGAAAAAGGAACCCTCATGCACTGCTGGTGGGAATGCAAACTGGTGCAGCCACTACGGAAAACAGTATGGAGATTTCTCAAAAAGTTAAAAATAGAAATACCTTATGACCCAGCCATCCCACTACTGGGTATCTATCCTAAGAACCTGAAATCAGCAATTCCAGAAGTTCCATGCACCTCTGTCTTCATTGCAGCATTATTCACAATAGCCAAGACGTGGAACCAACCTAAGTGCCCAGCAACTGACTATTGGACAAAGAAGATATGGTATATATATACAATGGAATACTACTCAGCCATAAAAAAGGTCAAAATGGTCCCATTCACAACAACATGGATAGACCTTGAGGCTATTATGTTCAGCGAAATAAGCCAGACAGAGAAAGATGAACTCTGTATGACTCCACTCATAGGTGGTAGTTAACATATGGACAAAGAGAACTGATCAGTGGTTACCAGGGGAAAGGGGGGCTGGGGGGAGGGCACAAAGGGTGAAGTGGTGTACCTACAACATGGCTAATAATAATGTACAACGGAAATCTCACAAGGTTGTAAACTATCATAATCTTAATAAAAAAACAAAGTAAAATAAAACCTGTTACTGAACCTGAAGTGAGTTCACTCACCCATTGCGTAGCAAGCCAATCTCTGACACCGGGGGTGGTGGAAGAAAGTAGGAACTTTATTTTTGCACAGCGCTGAGCAAGGAGAGAGGGCAGCTAACGCTGAAATCCCAAACTCCCCGAAAAGCTAAAAGGAAGGGATTTTATTTGGGGTTTTAGGTAGGGGAGGGGGAGCATATGGTCTTGCTGGTGGGAGCTTTCCCACCAGCCTGTCTTTGGCCTTGAGACACTTGCAGAGAGGAGGGAGCCCGTGACCTTGCTGGTCAGCAGCTTTCCCACCAGCCTGTATCTCTTTGTGGGGAGGAGATGGTCCAGGTGCTTGTCCTTGACGGTGTCTGTCTCCATGGAGAATAGTGGATTCTGGAGGCAGGAAGCCAGAGAGTAAGCAGGGAATGGGTGTTTTGGTTTTAACCCTATATATGCTGGGTTTAATGTGGGGGAACTGATACCAGGGTCGGTATCAAACCCTCAAAAAAAAAAAAAAAGGAGAACATCTAAAAGACTTTGTTGAACATTTTATACAAACTTTTCAAAGGTGCAGTGCATTACACCCGGAAGCCCCAGAGCACAGGAATCTCCCAATTTTTGCTTTAGTAGGAAATTTTCTTCCTGATATCAAAAAACAAATTCCAATAGTGTGGTTGGTGGGTCAGGGCAACCAGTATGTGTAATAATGGAGGCTGCTACACAGTTCTTTGAAAATAGTCAGCAGGAGAGTAAAAGACAACAATAAGAGCAACTCTTCTGGCTTTACAACGTGAATCTTTAGAGAAGCAAAAAAAATGTAACTGAGAGTCAACTGAAGCCCACTCAGAGCGCTCCCTATTCGCCTCCAGACACTTGCAGGTCTCGCAGGAAACCAGGGCATTGGAGAGAGATCGTCCTGCTCTTAAGAGAAGGGAAAGTTAGGGGCCAGCCTGGAGGCACAGCGGTTAATTTTGCACGTTCCGCTTCGGAGGCCCGGGATTTGCTGGTGTGGATACGGGTTGTAGACATGGCACTGCTTGTCAAGCCATGCTGTGGCAGGTGTCCCACATATAAAATACAGGAAGATGGGCATGAATGTTAGCTCAGGGCCAGTCTTCCTCAAAAAAAAAAAAAAAAAAAGAAAGAAAAAGAAAAAAGAGAAGGGAAGGTTAAAAAAAATAACCCCCTGGTCCCAGCACCCCCAGAAGTCTCACTTTTCTCCTCCTGAGGGGCATTTCCCCCTTAAATGATGGGATCAGCTGATCCTCAGTCGCTCCCCTGAGCCACCATGAAACTTATAACAGAGGATGGGGAACTGGATTTCTTAAGTGACACTATCTCTATTATCCCTTCAGAGGGTTTATCTCTACCTACTTCGAGGCCCACATCCCAGCCACTCCAACAGATTTAGCCCCTTAACACTCACCCTGCCTCTCTAGTCTCCCACTGCTCACCAGCAAACCTTTTTGGCAGAGGTTTGTTATGTGAATTTAATGCCGCTAGAAATTGTAATGACAAAGGCATTTTCACCTCCCTGCCCTCAGACCAAACCCCAAGTCTCCTACTTTCCTTGCTAGAAACTCATCTGATTTAAACTCTTCTGAAGAGGATGAGTCTTTAAAAGATGTCCCCATTAGTCTCTGGGCTACACATGCAAATGAAATAGGATTGTTACTGAATGCAGAACCCATGCACATTACTTGGAAAAAAATACTTTCCCATCGGTAGCCCAATACCCACTCTGCAGAGACACAGAGTGAGTAACTGAACCTCTAACAGACCCCCTTCTGCAACAGGGTGGACTAGTTCTTACCGCCTCACCCTGTAACACCCAATCTTGCCAGTGAAAAAAGCAGGCACGTTTGACTCAGACGGGAACCAAATCCATAGATCTGTACAAGCCCTCAGAGCCATAGAGTCTGTATTCCTCCGCATCCTTGGCCCCGATCCAGCCGTCATCCTGAGCTCGGTTCCTGCTGGTGCAGCCTGGGTGACAGGAGTTGACCTTGCTCAGCTCTCTTGTCAATCCCACTGCAGCCTGACTCACAAGTTAGTTCTGCATTTACATTTAAAGGGAGGCCATTCACGTGGACTCGCCTTCCTAGGGATATTGTGAGTCCCCCTCATATTTTCCCCAATCCTGCAGCCCAGCTGGATTCTGTAGCCTTCACTCAAGGCTCTGCTCCTGTTCAGTATGTGGATGACCTTCTACTCTGTAATCAGAGTAAACAAGGAGCTCTTACAGACCCCTCACTCTCCTGCAGGCACGAGCTGCTCGAGGCCATAAAGCCTCCAGATCTAAACCTCAGCGGGTGCAGACAACTGGGCCCTACCCGGGACAGGAGCCATGTCAAGGCATTCAACAGCTCACCCCAAATGCCTTGAGTCCATTTTGTCCACCCCTCTCCCCAAAATGAAGAAACAGCTGCGCAAACATCTAGGGGCAGCTGGTCACTGCCCCAGTGGATTCCTGATTCTGCAGCCCTTGCTAACCCTCTGTGTGCTCTTCTCCCAGACATCACCCCACAGCCTATTCCCTGGCCTTCAGAGCCGTGAAACTCCTGTGAAGCCTTAAAATTTGCTTTGTCCACACCCCGGCTCTTGGCTTACTGAAATTTTTTTTTAAAGATTTTTTATTTTTTTCCTTTTTCTCCCCAAAGCCCCCCGGTACATAGTTGTATATTCTTCGTTGTGGGTCCTTCTAGTTGTGGCATGTGGGATGGCACCTCAGCGTGGTTTGATGAGCAGTGCCATGTCTGTGCCCAGGATTCGAACCAATGAAACACTGGGCCGCCTGCAGCGGAGCGTGTGAACTTACATTCAGCCACGGGGCCAGCCCCTTGGCTTACTGAATTTTGACAAACCTTTTCATCTATACTGCCATGAAAATAATGGAACTGCTACAGACATTCTAGGACAGTATTCACCTCTCAGACATGTACTATAGCATATTTCTCATGCCAGCTAGACCCTGTGGCATCAGGTATGCCCCATGCTTATCTGTTGTGTTCATAGCTGCCACTCTGACTGACAAAGTCAGTACTCTAACATTAGGCTCTCCCAGTCATCTCTATGTTCCCCATGCTGTGTCTGCTTTTTGCAAGTTCACAGGACACAACACCTCTCTACATGGTCACACACCACCTGTGAGCAGGTTCTTTTAAGTAACCCTTCCATCATCTTACATCACTGTAATTCTTTAAATCCAGCTATCATATTACCCCTTACTGATGATGGAGAGCCCCACTCCATCCCACATGATTGCCCTGCAACATAGAAATGGTCTCAAAGCCATGAGAAGATCTCTCAGACACCGTTTCAGACAATCCAGACTTACTTCTGTTTTGTGATGGCTCCTGTAACTGGAATTTCTGGGGAAACATAATAACTGGTTATGCCACAGTTTCCCCACATGAAATGCTCAAAGCTTGTTCCTTGCCCACTGCAAAATCACCCAAGTTGCTGGATCATAGCTCTCACTAGAGCCTGCACATGAGCAAAAGGGAAAACTGCCACTCTTCACATGGACTCCACATACGCTTTTGGAGTTGGCCATGCTGTGGGCACAGTTTGGAAATCCCCCAGATTCTCAACTTCTGTGGGAACTCCCATTGCCAATGGACACTTAATTCCTGCCTATTTCAAGCTATTCACCTCCCTTCGCAAAGCGCCATTATTCCCTGGTCAGTCCACACTCAGGAGACTGATGTCAAATCTTCAGGAAACAGCAGGCTGACAGAGCTGCTAAATATGCAGCTCACCATGGACCCCCTTGTCCCTTCTCCACCCAATTTTTAAACCTCACTTTTCCTGACTGATATTAAATTTCAGGCAAATGCCCCACAATCTGAAAAAGATAATTGGATACAAAAGGCACCAAACAAGGATCAGATGGATTAGAAACTAATGGGGCACTCATTAAAATGTCATTCCCCATATCATCCTCAATCATCAGGGCAAGGGGAATGGAAATTCTAGACATCAATAGGACTTTAGAAAAGGTCTGTCAAGAAATGGGACTTCAGTGGCTGGAACCTCTTCCCGTGGCCCTAATAAAGATCCAATATACTCCAAATAGGAGCCATGGATTGACTCCTTGAAATAGTTCTTGGACACCCAACACCTACTGACACATCTAAACCTTCCATACCTGCATTAAGTGAATATTGTGGGAACTTAAGTGAACAATTTGGTGCTGTGAGTAGCTATAGACAGAAATTAATTAGTCCACTTGAAGTATGTGGTCAACAGGTAAAAGAGGCATGGCCCCCACCTGCTGACAAAACTTGCCCTCCCTCTGGACCTGGAGATCGGGTGCCCATCCAGGACTCTAGAAGAAAATATGCTCTGTCACCTCACTCGGAAGGACCTTATGAAGTCCTACTGACCACCTACACTGCCATCAAAATATAGGAAAAATATTCCTGGATCCACAGAAGCCACAACAACATAGACCTATAACATCACTCGTTGGACCACTTGGAGACAGTCCCTACAGGTGACCTTAGACTAAGGATTCCCAAGGCTGATTCCCAGGCCCCAGAAGTGGCTGGCCTCATGGAGTAGACAGCTTTTCTGAAGATCCTGGATCAAGAAATCTCTCTTTCACCCAATTTTTCCCCTTGCTTTTAAAACTCCCTACACACACACACACACACACACATACACAATGACAACAACACTTTTACTATTATGGAATATGTATATTCCTTTTAATCATTTATTAGAAAGCTGACTGGAGAGCACTGGTCTCCATCTGTCCCACTTCCCCTCCCTAAGCTTCTACCTCGGGCTCTTTTCCAATCTCTGTCTTGCTGTTACTAACTCTTTCTTTCTCAACAGGTCAAGCACAAACCAATCTCCCCCTTATCCCAGTTTACCAAACCCTGGCCACACTAAATAATGTCTGACTGTTGGCTATGTCAACAGCCAGAGAGCACAGAAGAACCTGAACTGGCCTCTGTTCCTGCTGATGTGAACACCTGGTGGACTAAGCGCAGAAGATGGATGAACGACAGGGCATGGTGTCCACGACAAGGAAGACGTCACTCTGCCTCTTCTCCTGGTGAGTCACTTGGGCCCCGGAAAACCTCTATA